ATTTTGTTGGTTGCTTGGTTGGTTGCTTCATTTTGTTGATGGTTGTCGGGTTGGTTGCTTCACTTTGTTCGTTGGTTAGTTGACTGGTTGGTTTTAGGAAGTTCTATTTGGTTCTCTTTCAAATCTGGTAGGTCACTTAAAATATTTTCTATTGCCTGTAAAATTTTAAGCTTTTTTTTTACTTCTTTAAACATAGTAAGTATAGTTGTTTTAAAATCTGTGTCTGATAGTTCCAACAGCTGAAGTATTTGCACAGCTATTTCTGCTAGTTCTCTTCCAGCTGTTTCTGCTGATTCCTTGTTTCCTTGTGTGTTCTTCAAAATTTTATTGTAAGCTGCTCATTTTCCTTAGAAAACTGGTTTTGGAAACACTTGGAGGCCTAGGATGAAAGTTCGCTCCTTTCGAGAGGATTCCTGTTTGCTTCTGCCATGAGGCACTTCCAGTCAGAGACCACCTTAAACTATATTCAAAATTTGAGGGGTTTTGTACTATCCAGATGTTTAAAGATATGAAAAGTTACAACTTCTAAAGAATTCTTTTACTGCTGTTGTTATGTGCAACACTGAGGCAAGTCTGCTTGCATTCCCCTGTTGCCGAGTGGAAACCCCAGGTTCTGCTCAGCGTGACTCATAACAGCCAATAAACGAGAGACCAAAGTAGAAAAGCAGAAAGGCGCCTTTATTTTGTTTCGCAAGGAAAGGAGACCGTAGAGGCTGCTGCCACCAAGACTGCTCAGTGAGGGTGAGGGGAAAGGTTATTTTTAAGGGGTTTACAAGTAGAGAGTTCATACAAGTAACATCAGCAACAGTCTTAATCATACTATGCAGGTGCAATGGGGTTTACATATAACTTCATGCATCACCAGGATTTAATGCAAAGTTATGGGGTGTGTCAAGCAAAGGAACCAGCATTCTAATGCAAAGCTATGAGGTGAGCCAAGCAAGCTGCTTGAGGCAGTTGAATTTTTCACAGCCTGGGGGCCTCTATCTTACCCCTGGCATTAAGGAGGATGGAGATGATTCACTTCTGGTTCACCCGCACTCTGAGAGGGTTGTCCTTTAGGGTCCCAGACTAATGAAGGGTTATCTGTCATTAGACTCTCCTTTGAGCAGGCCTGGGCTTTCATTTCTGTTCCCCAAAGTTTGAGGACTCCAAACCAAGGCTCAAGGTCCCTTGGTTGGGAAGATATCCTTGGGGCAAAAGAAGCTTCCTTCTGCTTACTCTTGCAAGTTCCCCTTTTCACTCTGATTTTGACCTGATAATTCCTTATTAATTTTGCAGTTTTTGTTACATTCAGTAGTGTTTTTTTTCTTTTTGTATTTTATTCAGAATTTTCAATTTTAATCAGCAGGGGGATTAGTTTTAATAATCTATCCTGCCATAATACCAGAAATGGAAAAGTCTCATTTGATTTCTTCTTCTCCTGCTTCTCCTCCTCTTTCTTCTTCTTTTCCTCCTTCTCCTCCTCCTCCTCCTTCCTCCCCCTCCTCCTCCTTCCTCCCCCTCCTCCTCCTTCCTCCGCCTCCTCTTCCCTTCCTTCCTCCTCCACTTCTTCTTCCTCTTCTCGTTCTTCTTTCTCTCTCTCTCTCTCTCACTCACTCTTATTCCCTCTCTAACTTACATTCGTGTCTGATGAAAGCCTAACAAATAAAATTCTCTTTTTCCTCCCGTGGCTAAACCATAACCTCAGCACCAGACACTGAACAATCAATTTTTGATTGTAGCATTCCATTTTCACAAAATACACTCATATAAAAACTTCATATTCTTTCTGGGTTTTTCTGATCTACTAATATTCTATATTCTTAGATCAGTCCCTTATTTGTTTCTGATCACTCAATCTTTATAATATACTGTAAAATCTCAAGAGCTGTGTTCCTTTTTCTTATTCTTTTCTCAGATTTTTAAAACTTTCATTAACTACTATTCTTCTAGATGAAACTTAGAATCGTTTCCCCTAGTTTTGAATGTAATTCCTTTGAACTGTTTTGAACTATATTAAACCTATAAATTTATTAGAAAGAATTGGCATTTTATAAATAGCCTTCCTATCTAAAATCAGTTTATGTATCTCTTTTATCACCACTTATTCAGAACTTCATTTACATTTTAATAGACTTTTTTAGTTTTCTTTATTTGTGACACTACTTGCTAAAATCATTGCCATTATAATATCATATATTTAGTTGCTATTATTAGTTGGATCATTTTTTTAAATTATATTTTCAAAGGTGTTTTATGGTGTGTTTGACTGCTCTTAATTTTCTGATTTTTTTTTGTCTTTGGTAGTATTTGAGAATTCTCTTACTAATCATAGTCAATTTTCATCAAATCTTCTGTGCATTCTATACATATATAATAATATAATCTACAAATTTTGTTCTTTTTCAGGCTTTATATTGGCCAGGATGTTTAAAAGAATATTCAATAATATTTATGTTCCCTATTTGTAGTGGTAAGTTCACACATGTTTAACCAAAAAATATAATAATAGCTCACAGTACATTGAAGGTTTTAAGTGTATCGTGGCATTTTATGTAGGACTTAATACACCAGCCCCCAAAAGAAGCTGAAGAAGCCCTGGTCCAACATTACACAACCAATAGAGTTTGACAGCTGGGACCAGAAAAATACAGATGCTACATCCAACCAACATAGAAGAAGCTTTTGAATTTTACAGATAAAAATTAAGTAGGGTTGGCTTTTTTGTTTGCATGTTTCTGTTTTTGCTAGAAACTGAGAATAATGGATACAATGAAGTAACAAATTTTAATATGATGAAAAGATTGTCAAAAATGATGGTGATCAGTGAGGGAATACACTGAAAGGCAGTGCTAAGAAGGCATCAGAAAGAAGACTAACCAGGCAAACCACTAGCGGAAAGGGTCCATCTTCTAAATACTGAATTTTGGTAATTAGCTCTCTGTGCAGGATTTATCTTGCTCACATGGAATGATATGAACCCACTGATAGAGTGCTAGGTTCTATTTTTAGATCAATGTTTCTTAAAGTATAGTCTGTGCATCACCTGGAAAAGAATCTTCTGAGTGGACAGACAGTCTTGTTAATAAGCAAATCTCCAGGCCCCACCACAGGCCAAATGAATCAGACTGGCACGGGGAGGGGAAGGAAAGGGGGGATAGGAAACCTGCAATCTAAAGAGGACCCTAATGGCTTCTCATGCAAACTAAAATTTAGAAAAAGTGGGAGAGAGGGAAGAGAAAATAAAAGAGGCAGAGAGAGACATAGAGAAACAAAATCAGAGATAGCTGGGAGGGAAATTTTATACTTGCCCTTATGGTGCAAAAGGTATTATAAATCAAACTGATAAAAGCTGAATCTGATATTCCCATTAATATATTATAATTAGACCAGGAGACTTTTCAGAGAATGGAAGGCAAACATCATATTCAATCACTTAGCAGTTATGTATACAAAGCACTGCAAAGTATATGAATATCAAGTAAGGCAATGCATAACTCATCACATCTAATTATATTAAGGAAGTGCTATCAGAGTCTACCATATGAATTTATCGTCTTTCTTTGTAATTCATATATTATATTCATTGCAATAAATCAGAAAGTGAACAAACATCTTCATGGGTCATAAAATCCAGGAAGGTTTTGAGAGGATAGTTTTTCTCAGCTATCCATGAGAAAACTGTGGAGTAGACTTGGGACCGCCCTACTGCTTTTGCAGAAAGGAAGCTAGGAATGTCAGTTTGATCTTCTGCCTGTCAGGCTCCTGGTATAAACAGAGGAGATCAGGTTGTTGGTTGCATATTTGAATGTCAAATATCTCTCTTCTCTCCTAGCTGCCATCTCATTCGCTCCAGCAGCTTTACCTCCTACCCTGCTTTTCAATGCATCTTGGCTTTTAAAATTCATGAGCCACCCCTTATTCATATTAAATGATTCGCCCTTTGCTTCCCTATCACATGACAAAAAAGTGTCGATGTTTTTCGCCACTCAAAAGTACACAGGGCTGAGTATGAATTTTAAAAAATGTTATCTTGTTGATGACCATTATCTTGAAATGGCGGATTGTAATTTAATTCATCTAAATTCAACAGAAGGCGTTGTACACCTACTATGCATCAGGAACTGTGGCTACCAAGACAAATGATGCATGGTGCCTAGTGGGAGAAGCCTGCTTTTCCTTCTATCTGCCATCCTAAAAGACACGTGTATAGCATGACTCGAACGAATGAGACTGCCCCAAGCTCCACAATACTCAAATGCATGGGAGCTTATATCATCAATGAGCATGGCCTTTCAAAGTATTAATGTTTGAAAGTTGATACTAAATGAGGCCACACTTGCTCAAAGGACGTTTGAGTCTGCTTTGAGCCATTTCCTAGTGAACAAGAAAAATATTATCATTATTTTACAGCTTCTTCTGTCCTTCTTTTCCTCCTTCCCTTTTCCCTCATTTGCTCCAACCTGTCTGGGTTTTCTCTCCTCTGATACGCCAACCGCCAGCCGTAAGTCCAAAGCCCAAGCGCCCCTACAGCTGTGCAGATGTCATCCAGGATCAAAAGACCCTGGAAGAGGGCTCTGAGGTCAGTGTGAGGCTGAGACAAGGGACATGAAGAGGGACTGTGTGTGCAGCGCCTCAGTAGTGCAGTTTGGCTGACTGTTTATTTGACAAGCTTTTATCAGCGTGTATACTGCCTGCTGTCTGTACCAGCAATGGGTTCATTGCCCGAATACAGTCCACGTGAATCTCCATGCAAACTGTCATAAACCAGACACCCACTGAGTATTTGTGGCACGTGTGTACAGCATTGCCTTCAAGACGCTGTCCGCACCTGGCAGCTCCACATCCCAGTGTGCTAGGTGTAGGCCAAGACCAGGCCCTTCCTCCCGCACTACTTGTTCTCATGCCAGTCTAGCTGCAGCCTGACTGAAAATGTGAGCTCTGCTGCTGACACGCTCCAAGTTACATCAAGTGATGCCCCTCATACACACACTAGGTTAAAAAACAAAATGTCTCACCACAGAGTCTTTCATCTTCTTTGGGAGAGGGTCTTCTGCCGACTCATCCAAATTTTGATGTAAAAATTTAGGAAACAATTTGCATTGAATAAAGGACCTGAAATTGGAAAAACACAGGTTTTACTCTGAAAAATGTGTCCATTACAATGTTTGAGGTAAATGGCTTCACCGGAGACCTCACACCCACAAAGGTCAAATACAAGTGCTCTCTCCATTAATCAATTTATAATCAAAATGGGCACATATTCCAGTGATTGGAAGGTAATGTTTTGATCATCAAATTTCACAGTTATGAAAGTAGTCAAGCAACTAAGGAAGTCTGCGTTCCCCAGCAGCAGCTAACTCCGCTCTAGGATTTCGGATTCTGTACTTCCACTCACCCTTCGGGGCTTCTTACTCACAAAGAGCCTCAGCAAAACTCAACATTCCAAAAGGGTAAAACAGTTGACCATAAAAATTGTGCAATCCGTGTTTGACTTTTCTTATGCTCATTTTTCCACACCTTTCATCTTGCTGCACCTGACAATCTAAAATTATGACCCCCAAACAATAATGTTTATCTTAAGTCAAAATCTTTGATCAGTTTGGACAAATTACACAAGGTACTGCTACTGATATCAGAAATTCACTTCAGCATCAGATGAAGGGTTTTCAGTCATAACTACATATTTTCAAAGATGTGAAAGACATAACTAAAAAGGAGATTGACAAATATACTTTAAGATGACTAAGGATGATAATTAAATGCATTTAAAACTTTGGCTCCGACTTCACAGTAAGCCCAGAGGAAAGCAGCCATTTTAGGAACAGCAGCAAAGAAAACAAAAGGCTTTCTTTCCTTCCAGTGGTGCAGGTCTAGTCTCCTGGGGTAATTGCCTGGAATAAAGAGAGTGACGCTGCTTAATGGATCCAGAGAGGGTATGCTCTGAGGTTGTAGCTTCTCATACAACTCACCCAAGGGAAAGCCAAAGACAGCGCTTGGGTGCTATCAGCCATCTGGTCCTGCCATTGTGCATTTTATTTCACAAACATGAGAGCAAAGGTTATGTGTTCACTGGAAGTTGAGCCTGGATTTTAATTAGTTTCTGGGTCTGCATTTCTCCCACCCTCCCCACTGATTAGCTAATTCAATAGCTTATGATCCCAACCACAATGAGCCCCGATTGCCGACTCCCACTCAGTGGGCAAGCAGCCCTGCTGGAAGGGTGCAGGCAGGGTGTACAACGAAGTGGCGCACCCATGTTACTCACATCAGCACCGACGGGTCACTGCTCTGCCTGCTCAGGTGGTAGGAGAGGGCGACCAAGAGGCCGCAGAAGGCCGAAAACAGAGCTGGGATGTGCTGTGTACTCCATGGCTCCTACAGAAAAGGCATCAAATAACCCAGTCACTCTCGTCTGTCTGAAGAATAGAGGGGCTCTCTCAAACGCTTAGGTTCGCGTCTTTCAGGTCTATCTAGACACAGCTTTCCCATAACCCCTTTTGCAAGCGGACATACGAGAATCTGGGTTCACACGCAAACCTAGCCCATTCATGTGTAAATGTTGATTTTGACAGGGGGCAGTGGAATCTTTCAAAATAACTGCACGTTTATGTCAATATTTATTTAATCTTTTCTGAAATTGAGTTTAGAATTTTTATAAGGTGTAACATTAAACATGTGCCCCCTCTTTTGAATTCAATACAATACTTAACAATGATTATAAGAATTTTATTTCTTCTTGTTGTTTTTAGCTGTCATCCAGTTGGCCCTGACTCATGGCAACCTCATGCACAATGGAACAAAGTGCTGCCCAGTCCTGCATCATCCCCATGATCGGTTGCAGAACAAACGGACCCTTGTGATCCATAGTGTTTTCATTGGCTGATTTTTAGAAGTAGATTGCCAGGACTTTCTTCCTTGTCTTAATCTGGAAGCTCCACCAAAACCTGTTCAGCATCATAGCAACACATAAGCTTCCACTGACAGATGGGTGGTGGCTGCACATGAGGAGCATTGGCTGGGAATCAATCCAGGGTCTCCCAACTTAATCAATGGTTTAAAAGGTATAAGAAATGTAAAAATGGCCCAAGAGATCAAATAGACTACACGAAACCAAACCCATTGCCACTGAGTCGATTCTGACTCATAGTGACCCTATAAGACAGAGTAGAACTGCCCCATAGGGTTTCCAAGGAGCGCCTGGTGGATTAGAACTGCCGACCTTTTGGTTAGCAGCCATAGTGTAGCTCTTAACCACTGTGCCACCAGGGTCTCCTAGAGGACTAAAATGAAATTTGGAGAAGATAAAAGACAATCCCTCTGCAGAAAGAGGAGAGGAATTTGAAAGGAGATGAGCAAGATACTTGAGGTTTAATCTGATAGACGCACAGATGCGAATATTCAACAAACCTCCCTCAGCGTGGAAAAGCAGACACAGGAAACAAGTGTTCCCACCAAGGGCAGCATGGAGACCTTGGACACCACTCTCACTCCAATTTGGTGTTCCCACCAGCAAGCATATGTCTTTTATGTATAAGGAAGAAAACTTCTACATATTTAGCCTTTCAATCACCATCAGCAAAATACGCTTCTGCCTTCCAAAGGCTGAATTTAGTCAAGGACTTAAGTGTTCTCTCAGGATATTTATCTGTTAACTCACCAAGTGTTTTATTTGAGAAGGATGAGCTGTTAAGTGTGTTTAAAATCAGACACACAAACAAATGAGTCAAGTGTGCTAATATTATATTCATAACTGTTAAGATATGCTGGAAAGCAAATGTTACACTGGGTAGAGCTAGTGATTTTATTTTTGCATGCTTCGATTTTCCAGAAATTAATGATTCATTTCTTTTATCTCTCCACAGTAAATGTGTGGGAGCCTGGGAGAGCAGCGCCCTGGAACCCTCCTCAGGTCGGCTTCCTAACGTATCTGGCACAGTGATTTTTTCCAAGGTCCCCAAGGCACGTGGGCACATTCATTGTTTCTCTAATTTTGTGTAGATGTCTTCCCGCCAATCTTACTGAAAAGTTCATATCCACAGATAAAAGCCTTCTCTGCTTAACTCTTCTCCTTCTGGAGTTTCCTTCAGTAACCTCTTCCACTCCTGTGTCCAAGAAAGAGATGCACTTCCTGCTTCCTGAGGCCAGCCCTCTCCTCACACCCACGATTCCCTCCTGTTAGTCCACCAAAAAAAAAACAAAAATATTGTCGACTCCAATTTATGGTGACTCCATGTGTGTTAGAGTAGAACTGTGCTCCACAGGGCTTTCAATGGCTGATTTTTTCAGAAGTAGATCACCAGGCCTTTCTTCCAAGGTGCCTCTGGGTGGACTCGAACCTCCAACCTTTCAGTTAGGAGTGAGCACTTAAACATTTATACCACCCAGGGACACCTCTTATTCCACAAATATCCCCTATTTGGAAGTAAGCCATCCTCTCTTTACATTGGTTCTTTCTCCTCTACCTATAAAAGGGCCTCCGTTGCTGCCATCTTTTTTAAAAGGCCTTCCCCTTGACCCAGTCACTCTCACAAGCTCTCTCTTTGCCATTCTATCCAGGGCCAGTCCTGCATCTCAAGCGTTTGCGCTCCACCTTTTACTCCTCCACCCCCAGTGACTGATTCCCGCTGTCACTGGAACACCTCTTTGAAGAGAGCACTGCTTCAGAGCTGGACAAGCCTGGAGTGAATCCCAGCACTGCCTGCCATTTGTGAGCTGTGTGACCTTGGCTAAGGTGCTAAACATCTCTGAGTGTTGGGTTATTTCCTCTTCTTTAAAAAGGCAAACTGTTACCTATTCAGGGATTGCTGTGAGGGTGTTTTCTGTGCCGCAGGCCATCTTTTAAAGTTTCTGGCACAGCAGGGAGTGGGAACAGGGGACATGATGGACTCCTCTCTTGGTGCCTGGCCCCAGGGCTCAGAGCCAGACACAGGTGATCCTGGGAGATGCTTCCTCCACTGACTGACCCAGCAGGCAGCTGAGGCTCACATGTTACTGACATGCCTTTTTAATACCTCTTCAATCTGTCCCTTCCTCTTACGGCATCCTGCCTGGGTGAGGCCTCCACTGTCCCTCTCCAGCACCACTGTCAATAGTTTCATAACTAGACAATTGTATTCCAGTCTCCGCAGCCCTTTCCCATCCCAGAGACCCCCACAACTCATGCTCCACAAAATAGCAGAGTCATCTTTCTCTCCTAAAGCACAGATTTGATCATGCGACTGCCCTTCATTCAATGCCTTTCAGTGATCCGTCTTTGCTTGCCAAATGAAATATACTCCACAGGAAGGCACATAAGCCAATTAGCATCTGGCCTCAGCCCAACTTCCAGCCTCATTTTCATGTTTACAGTATTCACGGCAGCACAACCATGAAGATAAGTTGCTTCCCATCCCCTGCCTTTGCACATAGGGTCTGTCTGATCCACTCGCCTTCACTGTCGACCTGAGAACCCATGTTTCAGTGCTCAGCATAAGAACTTTCCCCTGCGAAGTGCTGTCTTCCTGACTTCCCAGCAGAATGAAGACTTTCTCCTCCGCTGTGCATCAACAACACCTTCAAACACCTCCAAACACCTCCAATGTGGCATCTAAGGGATGTTACCTTCATTATCTGAGGAAGGTGTGGCTGCCCCTCATCTGAGAGCCCTTGACTGCAGGAGTTGTGCTTACACGTCTGTGCAAGTCACAAAGACAGAGAAGGTCTTCAATGTTATTCCTGAATCAATGTTTTCATTATGTTCAAGGTGAAAACAACTTGCCACGTGACTTGTTGGCTCTGTGAGTCTTAGACTAGTTTATCCTATTGGAAAAGGGGTTCTGAAACATGCCAACACAATCCCCTCCAAGACTGAGCTCACATCACTGCCTCTGTGAAGTCTTTCATGACACTACCAGGATGCATCAGGCCCACGTCCTCTGTGTCCCCAGGGCAGCTGGGGCACCTCCCACTGAGCCTCACTGTCCACCTGTCTGCTCCACCATGGACAGTGGAGGGACAAGCTCTGTCTTTTTCCCCTGCACCTGGCATAAATGTTAGCACATCAAGGTTTCCTCAAGTGAATAACCGCGAAAAGTTCAGTGATCTATGCTGACATTGATCTTTCTTCTGCTATCTGCGTGGAGGAGAACTTCAGGAAGAAAAAAAGGGTGAAAGAATCATGCAGTTCAAATCAAACGTAGATCAGGCAGTGAAATGCTGCTGAGATGATGAAACTGTCTAAGAAAAGGCAATCCTGTGACCCTGGGACTTATATTTCTCTTTCAAACAGCACACTCAATAACAGAAAAGTCATTCTGAAACTTGATTTTTAATTCTTTCCCCATAGTCCAGTTATCAAATATGGATTGATCACCTACTATATCTACCACCTAACTGTCAGTTTGTCATACTGTGGTGGCTTGCGTGTTGCTATGCCACTGGAAGCTATGCCACTGGTATTTCAAATACCAGCAGGGTCACGCGTGGTGGACAGATTTCAGCAGAGCTTACCGGCTAAGACAGACTAGGAAGGAAGGCCTGGCAATCCACTTCTGAAAATTAGCCAATGAAAACCCTATAGATCACAACAGAACATTATCTGACTCATGTTGGACATATTTTCAGGAGGGATCAATTGCTGGAGGAGGACATCATGTTTGGTAAAGCAGAGGGCCAGCGAGAGCAAGGGAGACTCTTGGTGAGATGGACTGACACAATGGCTGCAATGATGGACTCAAACATGCTGGCAACTGTGAGAATGATGCAATCCCGGCAACGTTTCATTATTTTGTTTTACATAAGGTCGCCATGAGTTGGAATCAACTCGACAGCAACTAACAACAACAACCTACTATGTGCCAGGCACCAAGAAGCACAACTGTGAGCAAGACAGAGAGTGTTTCAGTCCCATGAAAGGACAAGTAAAAAGAAACACAAATAAGTAATGGCAATAAGATGTGATATGTGTTATGACAGTGAGGGACACATTGCTGATCGGTCACAGAGCAGCAACCAGAGCCTCAAGTGAGGCAAGGTAATGGCATTTAAGGGAAGCCCTGCACAGAAGAAACAGGCAAATATGGCCCTGCCACTCTAGGGGCTGTGGAAAGGCCAAGACCAGCTCTATAGGTGCTTGAAGGTGGGGGGTGGGTGGCCTCACCCAGCCTCGCGTCACTCCTCCCTCTCCCTGCTCTGCCCTCTCTCCTAGGGCTTCTCTTCTTCCATTTCATATTCGGCTACTACAAAAAACAAATATAAAACGTTTTCCTAAAGGGAAATACTGGCTAAACTCTATATTCCTTTATGGATTCTTCTACAATCACCTATGCTTTATGCTTAATTCAAAATCTCCTGAGGGCAGAGACTTTTCTTCCACATGCACCCTATAAAAATGCAAA